GTAAAGTGGGACAGCTGCCCCATGGGGCTGTGGGAAAACTCACTAGAGAGGGCTGCCCGGAAAGCACTTTGCAAACTGTGAAGTGGCATAAGTATGTTGGTGAGGAGACTGAGGGGGTGGGAGCCGGCGCTGACCCTGCCTGAGGAAGCAGTGGGCACTCACCCCAAGGGGAGTGCATCCCACACCTGCAGTCCCTGCCCTGAGCTGGAGATCGGTGGTCCTGGTGGTAAGCCCGTGCCCAGGGCAGCCTGGGCTCTGCCTCGGGGGAGCCCACGGTAGCTGGACGACCTGGGAGATTCCTCCCAGCCTGAGTTTGAACTGTCCATGGTCGGCAGAATAATAGCCCCCTGAAATATCTGTGTTCTTAACCCTCCTGTGGCTCTAGGTGGCAAAAGGAACTTTGCAGATGTGATTAAATTAAGGCCCTGGATTATGTGGCCGGGCCCAGTGTGGTCACAAGGGTCCTTACAAGTGGAAGAGGGAGGTCAGAAGAGAAGGGACAGCGGAAGCAGGTGGGAGACACCACACTGCAGGCTCAAAGGAGGCCAAGCCAAGGGGTGGGGGGGCTTCTAAAGTGGGGAAAGGCAGGGAAGCAGCCTCTCCCCTAAAGCTTCCAGAAAGAATGCGGCGTTGCTGACACCTCGGTTTTCACCCAGGAAGCCCTGAGCCAGTTCTGCCCTACAGAAGGCAAAGCTCTGCTGTGTGCTAAGGACTCGGGCTGTGGGAACGGGCTAGCGGCATGACAGGCAGCCAGAGCAGCTTCTACCCCCAGGGTGCTCGCGGGTTAGGGACCGATGAGGACCTGGAGGCGGCAATTGGACTGCCAGCGGCTCATCGGTCTTGCTGTGAGCGGGGTCCCAGGGCCCCTGTGGTGAACTTAGCTGGGTATTTGGATGTTTTGCATAAGTAAGTTGGCCAGATAATGGAAATGTATTACATCAACCTTCAAATCTAAACATTTTAACTGATTTTAATGGAAATCTAAAATCTAAGCTCTCATGGTTACATATTCCGAGGCCTCTTTAAAGTAGCCCTAACTGCTGCACCTGTACTCAGCCTGTGCTCAGCGATGGGGGAAATTATAACCAGCAATTTCTGTGTTCAACTGAGTCCCCAAGGGTGGGCAGGACCCTTTGGCCCTGAATGGCCCCAGGCCACCAAAGCGCAGAGCACCCGCTGTCCCCCAACTCCACCTCTGGAGGTTTCTGCTATATCCACACTAGACTGACAACTGTTGTGTCTTTCTGTCTGCAGGGGCCTCGTTCCCTTCCCATGGGGCCGGAGTCTAGGCCTGCTTTGACTAGCTGCGTGGCCTGAGCGCTTGAGTGGCTACTTGGCTCCTCGGGGCCCTGTGGCCTTGTATGGCATCTCCGGGAGCCACAGGAGAGCGGCTAGTGCCGGACTTCGCCGCAGGACTTCAGTCACATGTAGTGTTTGTGTTTCTAAGCTTGGGAACCTTGTAAGCAAACTGCCTGTCCCTAGGTAAACGGGGAGCAGGCAGTGTCCAGGAGAGGGGCCGGAGGCTCGGGTGTGCCCAAAGGGCCCAAGTTTTAGTTCTATGTTTTGTGTCCTCTGCTTTTTGCCTATGTCCTGCCTCTTGGCCATGTGAAGAGGTGGCGCTGCTATTTAAATGACTTGTGGACATCTAAGGAGCCTGTGGCCTCTACAGGCTGGGCACAGATATTTTTGAAATAATTCTGAGTGCAACAGCCTATGAGAGCTTATAAAAGCTAAGCTCTCATCTCCACCTGGGGAGGTGAACTGGAGCCCAAGCTGCAGTGAGGAGGCCCCTTACCCTGAGCCATGGACCAGGTGGGGTGTCCCCTGGGCCTGCAGGACCAGTCTGCTGCTGATGTGTGGTCACTGTGGAGTGGTGAGGAGGGCGTGTGCTCACGGAGCCTCACGGGGCTGGCAAGAGCTGCTCTGCACCCACTCATTTCCGGAGGGGAGAAGCAGTCCTTGCTCAGCAGTTTCCAACCTCCTCTCCTGTCCAGCCTAAAATCAAACCGGGGCTGGCAGACTCCTGCCAGGTCACCTCAGCCACCAGGTGGCTGGGGCCCATGTGCCCTGCTCCGGAGGCCTGTACTGTGACTGCAGTGGCACTGCTCACACGAGGCCACCCTGGGGCGCTGGGGCCCCATCTCCTCTTGGGACCGACTCTCATCTCTCCCCTCGCAGGGAGCTGGCCAGTGCAGCCGTCGAGGGCACAGACTTTGCAGCTGGGTGGCCCAGGTCTGTGCTTGCCATGGACCCTGTGTCTCACCTTCCTCACCTGCTTTTGAGCCACAGAACAAGGTCCTACCCCTTGCCTGCTCTACCCCAGTCCTTTCCCAGGACCCCACACAGACTCAAGCAGCCCACCAGCCCCATGGTGCACTGGGATAAACTGCCTGTGCCCCTTCTCACAGGCCAAGGATGCCAAGCAGCCTGGATGCCCACCATGCAGGCTGCCCCCAGCAGGGGCCAGGCTCTGTCCAGCGCCGAGCAGAAGGGGCACAGTCACGTCCCTCATTCTCCATTCCTCACCTCTGTTAATATGCATGGCTTGGGGGCAGTCAGGCCTTACTGGGGGCTCCTAGTTAGGGCTTGGGGTCCAGCGGGATCCTTAGTCTACCACGTGCTCTCAGAGGAGGCAGGTACTAAGAATTCTGAGCTCTTGAGACAGAGGCTCACTTCTCAGGAAGCCTCTGAGGATGGTACCTAGTTTTGGGCACGAGGCCCTGGCTGTGGGTCCTCGTCCCTTGCGTAAGTGTTGTGGGGAGACCAGAGGATGTGGGGCAGGACAGGCTCTAAGGGCTGGGTGGGGGGTTTTTATAACCAGATATGGGAATGCAAGGGAGGCCAGCCTTCATCCACCTCCTTGGCCCTCCTAATACCCAGCACAGTGCCCCAGTCTGCTCCCCCAGCTCTCCCCTAAACCCGGGGTGAGAGCTTCTCCTCACCGTCCTGGCCCTGCCCAAGGATCTGGCTCTGAGACATCATCTATTGACTTTAATTAGAAACGGCAAGTACAGAAGCCCTCTCTCTCTCCCCCACGCCCACCGCCCATCTGCTTGATGCCAACCCAGCTTGGCCCTCTTCTACCACCATCTGCTTGCTGGGAAGGGCACAGGGCACCCGGGGGCTCAGTTCCTGGTGCTGCCTGGCTCTGGCCCAGTGCAGCAGTGTCCACCTCTCCTAGTAAGTGAGGCTGAGGGCTGTCGGCCCTCTTAGGCCTCAGTATGGTTCTAGAACATGGGCAACTCTGAGGTTTCTACCAGCCACCTCTCTTCACCTTTCCAGAAAGGTCATGGCACTGACTCCCATCTTCCTGGAGGGTAGTGGATGCAGCTGCATTCTGGGCCCATGAAGTCCACCCGCTGGCAGTTTCCAGCCCTTCCCAGGCCAACCCAGGTGGCTCAGGTCAGTAAGACAGCCCTGTCTGGAGGACTTGCAGAGAGTGGGCTTCCGGCCTGAGCTTGTCCCGTCCGCCTGTGCAACCAGAGGTGAATCCTCAGGCCTCTCTGGACCTCAGTGCTCTTGTCTGACAAAGGGGGCTATTCCTGTCTTGTCCAGTGTGGACTTTGGGGTTCACAGAGTACCATCAGCCAGCCTACGATCTCCTTTGCTCCTCAAAGCCCACTGGGGAGGGCAAGGCTTAAGTCTACTCCCCGGCATCCCCGGCAGGAAAGGCCCCACTTAGACCTCCCTCCTCCCTGGAGGCCTGGGCTCCTCTGACATCCATAGGAGGGTCACAAAAGTAAGGGACCCCTCTGGGACCTTCAGGCTCTGACCTCCATGGTCCTGTGACCTGCACATTTAAGACAGCCCGCACAACCATGACCTCTGGGCTAGGCTCAGCTGTGCAGGGTGGTGTGTGACCTCGTACGAGCCAGGGCACCCCCAAAAGCCTCAGTTTCCTCCCAAGACATGGAAAATGCACTGCCCAGCCCACAGCTCCCACGGTGGGCATAACCGATCAGATCGCCAAGGAGAAGCTGGTGGCCATGCCAGGTGACCCTGCAGCCGTGCTCTGGAGCCTCTGGGGGAGCCAACTAAGGGGCAGAGAAAGGAACACATGAGGCAGCCTTGCTCTTCTGTCCCACAGACTGAGCCTGACCAAAGGGCAGTCACTCTCTCCTCCTTCCTTTCTCTTCACGCTTCCCAGGATCTGCGGGCCAGCTCGCCTTTGGGGCCACCTTCAGTGGCACTGGTGTTTCTAGGCAGGCCTCCCTAGAATCTGGACCAGACCAGGGGCAGTGCTCAGCATGACATCACATGGGGCTCCCCCCAAGGCAAGTGGGGGCCTGAGGGGGGACCACAGAAACATGGTCTTGGGCTGGGGTCATTCACAGAGTTGAGGGGCTTTGGGGGCACAGGGGCTGCGTAAGCCGTGCTTTCACCTGGGTCTGTAGATGACCTTAGTTCCCCCCTCTCTGGGTAGCAGATTTCCCAACTATGAAGTGAGCAGGGCAGACTGGATACCCCTGAGATCCCTCAGCCCCAACGTTAGAGGTGTTGCTTTTTCCCTGGCTGCGGCTTCTCTCCTGGGCAGGGAGGCAGATAAGGACTGTGCTGCCCAAATCCGTGTGCTGCACTCACACCCTCCTTTGCTTTTGTGTTTCAGTATCACTTTTTGCTGATCCTGGTATCCTAACTGCAAATGTGGACATTTACTTCAAGTCCTGGGCCTCGCAGCAAATGTCCCTTTACATGCAGAGATCACTAGGCATTGGCTCTGGGCTCTTTGCTACAAACACACAAAGAAATACATGTGTTTGATGAAGGGTAAAAACTTCAAAAAGGAAAAAGTGAATTCACATTTAGAGAGGAGCCCCCCACACTCACACCTGGCACACGTGAGTGCACATGTGTGGACAGGGCACACACAGTCCACAGACACACCCTCACAGCCTGAGACGCTAGCACACACACAGACGCCCCACACCAGCACACACCTGACACACGCACGTGCGCGCAAAGGTGTAGGTACAACAAAGGAAGTGGAAGAAAAGTGTTACCCATGAGTAGCCGCCGTTTCACCCGCTTGTCCACATCAGCTACTGACGTGGCATTGAACTGAGAGCGCTCAATTGCAGCCTCATCCTTCTCTAAAACACAAGTAAGGGACAAACATGGACCAGTGGTTAATGAGAGCCCACTTCCCGCGGCCCGAGACAGTCAGCCTCTCGGCATGGCGCACACAGAGCCGACACGGCCGGGCCAGCCGGCGTCCTCGCCAAGGGCTAATCCCAGGGACCTCCAAGGTGGTGTGTTCAGGGCAGAGCAAAGAGGCAACAGGGCAGGGGGTGTGTGCAGAAAAGGGGACGACCACAGAAGGACACAGATGGGACGCAGGGCCCATCTGCAAACAAACAGAGGAGGAGGCTGAGTTCAGAGCAGACACCGCCCATCTGAGAGGGGCCACAGAGGCAGACAGCACTGCCTGGCACTTGGCAAGACATGCTGATTACAGACACCCCCGGCTCAGGCTGGAGGAGCAGGCACAGGACAAGGCATAGGTCAAGGGGACGGGGCCATGGGGTCCGGTGCTGGATGCGCCTGGACAGCAGACATCCTATCTCATGGGTGTGGAAGTGCGCCAAACACTCATGCAAAATTAAGGACAAAACAGACCGAGGAACAAACACACACAGAGCAATGGATTCACTCTAACAGACACAGAGAAACCCGGGGGTCAATTCGGGCAGCACTGGTTGCCTGCTTGTCTATAGAGGGTTAGAGCAAGACATTCAAGTGCTCAACAAGGGGTTGCAAAGGTGGTCAGTCATTTTAGGAGCGTGCACAGAAGGACGGTGGGCCAGGGGCATTCTGGCTGCATGGCACGCAGCTATGCCACGATGCTTCCCATGGAGGAGCATGTGGGGTTAGCTGCTTTCTTTGCTCGGTGGGAGATGTGTGGAGACACTTCCCGAAGGGGGGGAACCTCAGCAGCAGTGAGCAAAGGCAGGTGAAAATTCTGGCCAGCAAGGCGGGGTGGGTGGGGGGCAGGGGTCCAAGGGCTGGGCCCGGAGAAGGATTTCTAAGGGGAGGGAGGCAGGATTGGGGTAAGGGAGGAAAGTTAGTGTTAGAAAATAGATCCGAGCAGGGACCTTTACATGCAGAAGACACTGAAAGATAAAAAAATAAGAATGGATGAGTGAGGTGGACAAAGACAAGATATGTTAGACGAGGCTGGGTATGTGTTTGGCCTGCAGCTGTTTGCACTGGTCCGGTGGCCGGCAGAGGCGTCTCCCCGGCAGACGCAAACGCTGAGGGAGACCCCAGCAGACGAGACAGGCAGGGGGCCGCCGGGCCCAGGAGGGCCCCCGGCACAGGATGGTGGAGACAGGGTGAGAGGCGGGAGAGGAGGTTCTAGATGGGATCAGGCTGCAATAGAGGCACTGGTCTGAGACCGGGTTTTGCTTTGCAATTGGTTTGGTTGGTTGGTTTGATTTGGTTTTTGGCTCTGAAAATAATTAATGAACGTCAGTTATCAGACAAGACAGGCAATCAGGGACCATCAGCAGAGAAGCAGGAGGAATGAGATAAAATGAAACCAGAAGTGGCCGCCTGGGAGGAGAGACCACACAGAGGAAGGGGGAGCCGCGCAGCAGCAGCAGCAGCGCCGGGACGGAGGGAGCGCTGGCCCCGGCTGGCCTGGCCCCCCAGCTCCAAGGGGGCCGTCGCAGGGGACAGACGGTGACAGCCAACTCCGGGCGGGAGCCAGGGCTTTGCTTGCTTGCCAACCCTTTTGTTACTAGAAAGTCCCTCAAGAGACAGCTTCAGAGTTGATAATGAGAACGGGGCTTTAAAAAAAAAATCACCATGATAACTGACTTGTGGTTTATAAAGTTTGCCAGCGCTGAGGAGAAAGAAGAGGATGGACAAAGTTGGATGGGCACCAACTTCGAAATTCCTCTTTCTTTCAGTTAAAACACTTGCTGTCACTTTCGAGTGGGGAAAGGACTAGTGACCATGGCATGGGATGACCACACGTCCTCCGAATGCCCCCTGCGAAGAGGGTCCAGGAGGAAGGGGGTGCCCGAGCTCGGATTGGGACTCCAGGTAACAGGCAAGGCGACAGAAGGGGCATCGCTGGGGAGGGACTGCGGGAGGGGAGGAAGTGTGCCCGGGAACAGAGCGCAGACCCCGCCTGCGGTTCAGACCATCATCTGCCCTGGTGTTCCAGGCAGGGAGGGCTGAAAGCAGTTTTCTGAGCAGACCTCTGGGTTTTCCGACTGCAGAGGGTACCCACATCACTAAGGGGCCCCGGCACAGGTCACAGGAGCCCGCGGCATCCCCACACCAGGGGAGGAGACCCTGTGCTTCAGGAGCAGCAGTTGCCTGCCTAGGGACACACACCTTCCTGCTCCCCATGGACCACCTGCCTGGGGGTCCCTCCAACCCATGCTGGGGATGAGGACCCACAGAGCACCCACTGTGACGCTTGGCAGAAGGCAGAGGGGCTTGGTCCTGGGGGTCCGGAAGCACAGTGGGTAGTCTCCCCAGAAGGCTTCCCTTGGGGTTGCCTGCCAGCCCCATCAGAGCGGGGGAGGGAGGGGGACACCCCTTTTCTCATCTCCTTTAAGTTTCCTTCTTGGAAACTAGGACATAGCGGGGTGCTGGCCAACGTCAAGGGAGCAGGGGGCGCAAGGGGACTCGTGAGCGGCTAAGGTGCCTACTTACCGATGCACGTCCGACCGTCAGAGTGGAGGGCATACTTCTGGTGGCAGCCACACATGGGGCCCGTGTCCGTGTCTTCGCAGCTGTGCTGGCAGCCTCCGTTTCCATAGTTACAGGTTACTAGTCAGGCCCCAAGTGAACATATGTATGTATAAACAGAAGAACAACAAAATGATTAGTTTATTGGTGTTGGTTGTTTCTTTTAAAGGATTGGGGAGGAAAGTGAGGGCCTAAGATGACCGGGGAATAGACACACACTTTCCTGGACTTCAGCCCCACCGGTGTCTTGGCTGGAGTCACTCACTCCCTAGAGGCAAACTGGGGTGGGACAGAGAATGGACTCTGGGGTGTCGGGGCTGTGAGCAGGGCTGGCAGATAGTGGAGTTCTTGTGCTAGTTGAAGAAAGGGATGCTAGACAACTTCATCATTCCTGGATTGCAAAAGACACTTTCAAATAGCCTCCCTTGATGGGGCAAATGCCTGTTACCACCAGGCATACCCTGTAAGGTGGGAGGAAGGTGGGGGGCCCAAGGTGGGAGAGGACAGTCATTTCCTTAGCTCTTGCTTATGTCTTAGGGTGTGTGGAAGAAGGTCCCCACAGAGGTCTATTCTCTGCAAGTCCCAGCAGCCATCTCAAACTCTATCCCCTCAAAGCCCTAATCCTCCCAAGGCAACGTCCAAACAGACAGAACATATGCAAATGAATGTCATCTCAGGAGCAGTTTTATCTAAATTGTTACAAGGTTTGCAATGCCTGTGGCCTGGAGGAGCTGGTGAGCTTCAGCCAGAGCCCTAAATGTCTTACAGCATCTACAACCTGGGCCGGCTGAAGAGGGGGCTGAAAAGGAGCCAGGCTGAAGTAGGAAAAATGGTAAGTCCTCGTTTATTTACAAGAAAACACCTGTTACTACTTTCCAGGGTGAGGCACGTCTCTAAAGGAGACCCAAGATCTCTTGGGAGAGGCTCGTGTGGCCACGCTTTACTCCACTGGTGAGACAGCGGGGTGTCTGCTGTTTGCGTGCAGATGGTACAACGGGGCCTTGAGAACAGGGTGTCTTCTTGGGTACTTTAACTATTTGTCCAGAGTTCTACCTACACTCTTAGTTTACTACTATGATGATCAAATATGCAAAAATAAATCTCAGACCAACCATGGTCAGAGGGGCTGGAAATTTCAAATTGGCAGAGTCTGGATGAGTGCCCTTCTATCAGGTTACCCACGAACAGGGCTGGTACCAGAGGGAAGTCACTTGGCGGCAAATCCCTGGTGACGGATCCCCAGCACTTCAGGACTGAGTCTGCAGCTAGCTGCCTGTCCTGAGCTCCCCTCCTTTCTCCAAGAGAACAGCATGGAGCCTCGGGGTGCCCGCCCGGAGCGGCAGTGGCCCTGTCAGCCTGGACACATGCGGTCTCCCCACCACGTGAGGAGGACCTAAAAAGAATGGTTCCTGCCCCATGTCCCAGACGTGGTCCTCAGTGACTGGAGGCCCCGCTGGGCTGCCTTCTCCAAGGGAGCTATCGGCCATCTGAAGGAGGGACTCAACTACCAGCATGGCATTTCAAGGAACTGCAAAACTGCTTCAGGAATCACAGCTGGACTGGGAGCACAGAATCTTCTGGCCTTTTCTCCCAGGAGTGCCTCGTCTCCACTCTGCATTCCCAGGGCTCACATTCTCTCATCTCTGGAACAGCTTGTCTCTCTGCCCAGGAAGAGGCCCAGGGAAGCCCAGGGATCCTGGAGGCTGCTGCTTAGCCTAGATCCCAGGTGAGGGGAGAGATCTGAGCAGAGCTTGAGCTTAGGCTGGACATCATGTGCCTTTCCAGCCCGAGAAAAGCCCCATTGCAGAGTGGGCAGGGGTGGAGCTGGGGCGAAGGCAGGGAGAATCCTGCGCACAGTTCTCTCCGAGGTCTGAGCTCCAGGAGATGGGCCGTGCCCTGCAAGTTACTCTAAGGAGGATACAGGCTGGCCAGAGGCACCTTGCAGGAGGGCCTGGGTCCACCGCTCTCTCCACACAGGCAGTTGTACATCTCACAGACCCCGAGGGCTGAGTTTGTGAGCACCTGGACAGACTACAGCTTGACACTGGCGCCCCAGGATCCAGAAAGACAGAAAAGGCTGGGAAAACCCTCCCTTGGCCCTGGAGTGGTCCTGGTCTCCGGAGGGATGAAGAAGTTTGCTGCAGAGGTCCTGTGGCCCTGCTGGTCCTCTGAGGCTTGCGAGCTCAGGCCTCAGCCCCCAACCCAGCTCCAGATTTACAATTTCCTGGCTCTCAAGTGACCTCAAGAGTTAGAGGGAACATCTCAGAGCCATTTTTACGCTAACCCTGCACATTAACCACACAGAAGGAATCAGGGCTGACTGGATGGACAGCCATCTGTGCCCTTCTGTGAATGAGGCAGGGCATCACCCACTCCTTGGTCCCGGACTCTCCACATGCCCTGGCAATACCCAGCCACCAAGTGGAGAAGGTGGGCAGCTGTGTCTTCTACCAGCAAATATTCTGGGCAAGGGGTTAGCTCTCCTCTCTCTCTGTCCTGCTGGGGTTGGGGGAGTCTTAGCTGCTCGCAGAGCCCCGCCCTATCTCTGCCTTCTCTGACCAGGGTGGTCTCCGGGGAGATGCTCTCTGACAAACTGTCCCCGGGAGCATGTGTCCCAGAACGAGTTATAGAATCAGGCAGGGAGTTGGTCCGTCCCAGCCACTCCCTGGGGCTTGCACGCAGCTCAGGGCATGGCCAGGCGGGTGTCGCATGTGCTTTTCTTCCGCGGGCTGAGCTTGACAACAAGCCTTCTGGCTCCACGTATGCTTGTCTTGTCCTTTGTCCTGAGGAAGCTCAGACTGCCTGACGGGAGGGCTGGGAAAGTGGAGCCATTCATTTTCTGAAGGTTGCCAGGTGGCAGGAGATTTCTCTGCAGCCACAGGACTCCGTGTGGTGTAGGGACCAGGAGGGCCTGGCTGGACGAGTCCCAGGGCTGGAGTCCCAGGGCTGGAGCTGGGCATTTCCCGGTCAACACTGTCCCTGCCCTTGGTGACAGAGCGCATGCTCACGTCGGTGGCCTCACAGGGAAGACCAGGAAGCAAGAGGGCGTCCGGCCCGCATCTCGGACCGGAGCTGGGCAGAAGGAGGCGTCCTCGCCGCGGGGACGCACACGGCGTGAGTGGGGGCTGGAGCGCGAGCTCCCTGGAGGAAGGATTGTGTCTGACGCCTGCGGGTCCCCAAGACCCTGGGCACTGTTTGAAGAGAACATGAGTTGGGAAAGGTATGGCACGTGCCCAAAGGACAGCTGAGGACAACTGAGAACCGTGGTGACTGGGGACGGTGGACCGACAAAGGTCTTCTCCGGAGTGAAGGATGGGAAGAAAGGCCGTTTTCCTGCCAAGAGCTGGCCGGCCCCAGGCTCCTGTCTCGGCAGTCGTTTGGGGCTGCTTTCACTGCTGGGCATGGGCGCCTCCTCCGCACCACCTCTGGGCATCAGAAAGTGGGCCTGGCATGAAATGCTTGCCTACGGCCAGAGGTGGGAAGGGCTCAGTCTGCCTCCCTGAGAGCTTTGCAGGGAGTTACACCAGTTTGGGCATCTCAGCTGCCCAGGGGGCAGAGGCCACCTCACCATCGCCCACGTAGCTGCTCGAGGCCACACCGGGTCTGAAGTCTTTGAGGGCGAGTGGAGTGTGTTCACCCACTGTCCTCCAGGGTCCTGACACTGCTGTTTGCTGGCTGCCACTCCTGCTGGACAGCCAGTGACCACACTAGAGGCCGCCGCACACTAGAGGCCGCCGTACACTAGAGGCCCGCAGCTGACCTCCCAGCCGCTCCTGAGGTGGCACCTGCGGCACCATCCACCATGGGCCTCACAGGGGAAAACTGCAAGGTGTGACCTTTGCTTCTGGGAATACGGCCAGCATAGCCTGGGCTGGTTACCCGCCCCCCAAACTGAGCTCCTTTCCTTCTTTCTACCATTCTGCTACTAAGGGCCGCCCTAGCCCCTCGGGAACCCTGAGCTGGTAGCCCTCTGTGCCCCAGCCCCTCCACTCCTGCTGGGGCTCAGGCTCAGAGCTGAGGAGCCTCGGGGGCAGGGAAGGGAAGGGGTCACAGGGAGCACCGGCAGGGCTACCCTACAGGGCCCATGGAAGCTCTAGCCTGACTCCGGGCTGTGTCGGTGGTGTCATGGCAGGTGGGGGATGCCTCAAGCTGGGGGTTCCCAGCCCTTGCCCCTCATGCCCTGCTCTTCTCTTCACCCCAAGGGGCTGAGAGCCCTCCCTGGGCAATGTCCAGCAGACTGGACAGACCCCCTTCCCCAAAGCAATGGCAGGAGACGCGTGGGGATGTCTGACCCGTTTGCCTCCATCTACCTACGTGTGCAGTCCTTCTGGTTTTGGGCAAGGTCAAAGCCGGGCCGGCAGTCGCAGGCCACCCCACCTTTGGGCGTCTCTCGGCAGATGTGGGCACAGCCATGGTCTTTGTTCATGCAGTTCATACCCTCTGGGAAGAGACAGACAAGGGAGGGGTTGGGAACCGGGGAGAGAGAGGGAGAGAAAAATTTCAGGCTGGGAAGAGCTAGCCAGTGAAATGCCACAATCAAACGGAGTGAGCTTGGGGTGCCATTAGCACACACAGGGGTGCGTGCCTAGCCATCCAGATGGGGATCCCTTGGGGGAAACACGGTGCCCGGGTCTAGAGCCAGGCCTCACTCTGAGAGCCACACTGTAAATGACACTGTGGGACCCACGGAGGCAATGCTCCTGCCCTTGGTCAGATTACAGGGTCTGGTCTATGGGGCTGCTTTCAAGTCAGGACTTTAGACAGTTTCCCCACTAAAGTGGGTGTGGATGGCACTGCAAACGATGGTGGTGCGTAGTAGTTAGTCTGTACAAGGATGCCACGTGCCCCTGTAAGGCAGGCGGAGCCTTCTGTTTTGGGCTGGGCCCATAGGGGGTTGGGTGGGTGGGCTGCAACCCTGAGCTAACGCACCCTGGCTCGCATCTAGCTGTCACACCTGGAGGTACCTTTGGTCCGCTTAGCCGCTCTGACTGCATTTCTGCGCAGGCCTGAGGCTGCCGCGCTGGCCCACCGGACCTCAGGGCAGCAGAGGCTCCGCCTCGCCATCCCCTTGGCCACGTCCTGAACTACAAGCCACCCGCAGAGGGGACCCTCGCATGTATCTCATTGTAGTGCTCCCAGGACCCATGGAACTCTGCCCCCTGAGAGCAGCGCCCCGTGTGATCTGCCGCTGGCCCCCCACCCCTGCATGGCCCCCCTCGGCCCTCATGGAGCTCATCCCAGGTCCAGGAGCGTACATGTTACCGCACTCCTGATCTCAGCCTGAGATCCCTGCTGGGCGGCAGGTACCAACTGCTAAGCAAGAATATTTCAAACCCCGGGCAGCTTTTTCTCTGCAGCCTCATCTTAAAGGAGCAGTGACTGACCTCCAGGCCCACTGGACGGGGAGCCTGCTACAGGGTGTCAGGGAGGGGCCACCCCGCTGCCTGCTGAGGTGCCCCTACACTCTGTCTACAGGGGGCTTTTTAAAATCTGGAGCCTCTTCTACGTTGGCCCTGCCTGGCAGGCCCTTGCTGCTCGTTCTCCTGGCTGGTCTCAGAAGCCCTGCCCCTCACGAGGCCAGCCAGACTCCAAGGCTCTTCTCCTCCAGGCTCCCAGGACCCCGGTCAAGGTGGTGACAATGTCCTACGCATGTTCTGGGACCCCTCACCCTCTAGAAGGCAAACACCCCCTTCAGAGAAGGAGGAGCCCCTTCAGGCTAAGACACCTGCCCCAAGGCCTCTGGGAGCCAGGGCTTGAGCCATAGTCTCAGACTGCAAGCCCACCATCCTGCCTCTGCGGGGGCCTTGCTGAGCGCAGAGCTAAGCTGCCCACGGGCTTCAGGGGCTGGACTGCAGACCATTCGAGCCTCCAGACCCCACGCCCCACCCGTCAGTGCGAGCTGGGGATTGTGCTGAGCCGGCCGTCTGGGCCCTCTCCTCAGTCACCCTGAGCTCCCGAGACCTTCCCCTCCTGCCCACAAGGCTTGCTCTCTCCCCTCTGACTGCCTGGAGCACCTCGGACCCCCTGCATTGACCCCAGTTGATGTTTATCTTCAGGGTGACTGGTGAATGAGTTCTCAGAATTTATGAGGTTGTCAGGGGTCGAGTGAGAGGCTGTAGGTCACAAGACCATCAAGAGGCTCAAGGCTCATGGGAGAAGCACTGCCGTCCTCCCACAAACCGCCGAGACCCGCCTTCTGCTACCGCGGGCGAGGAGCCGGCCAGAAGGAAGGAACCCTGCAGACAGGGACACACAGGCAGACACATCTCCTTCCCAGACGGCTCACCGACCTCCGCTTAGGTGACACTAGCTTAGGCTTGACCCTGCCACATTAAACAAGGGTGTGGGGCAACCGAAAATTCACACAGACTTAAAAACACAAACACCCTGGCTGCCACGATCAAGATGAAAAAAAGTCTGGAATTCAGTAACACAAAAAAATTGAAATGAATGAAGGCCTACACTTTGCTTGGCACGCTGACCTCTGGTTTCATCTGATTTTACTACTCTTATTATTTCTTCACCTGCGTTTTCTTTCTCAGATGAAACTGCCAGACTGATGCAGAGTATGACCAACTAACCAAGAGTAGGGTAAGCAAAGCACTGAAAAGCCACGGTACTTCCCCGGAAGTTACAGTCCATATGGAGAGACCAGCCCTTTGTGCCCACTAAGCTCCCAAAGTGCATGTATGCATGACCACAGAGTGGTGTGGGACAGGACAGCGGTGTGCTGAGGGATGCTTAGCCATTGGCAGGGGTGGGGATGAGTTATCGGGCCTGGTTTGCAGTGGTCAATTTCTGTGGTGTAAACATTCCAACTGTGGCTGATTTCAACTACCAGGGACAGTTTCACGGAAGGTGGAGCTGGGAAAGACATGCACTGCCAGCTCTGATGAGCCAGTGTGAGCCAGCCTTGGCACATGGCTTTTTTAGAGAGGCAGGTGGGAGTGGGTATGAGTCTGGTCTCCGTAACTGCTACAAGTCCTGAAGAAAGTTGCTTTACTTCTTGAGCCTCATCTGTAGAATGGGAACGACAATCTCTGCCTCATGGACAGGGATGTGCAAGATAAAGGTAGGACTAGATCCTTCCCTGGGGGGTACCGACATCTGAAGGCCGGTGTCTTCTGCAGAGCTGGAGAGAGTGCAGCTTCTCATGGGCCCTGTCTAGGCTTGTATGTGGTGAGGGAAGGGAGACTGAATTGTCATCAGCGAAGAATCACAACTTACAGGAAGCCATGCTAATCATTTCCGACCATAAATCTGTCACTGGGGAGCTGATGCGGCCCTGCGCCTTGGACACGGGATGGGCAGTCAGCTTCAGAAATCACGCTGCCTCCTCCCGCACCATGAGCTTGCCGCCAAGTAGTCTTTCTGAGTATCCAGATGTGAATACTGAGCCAAGATGTTGATGTTGTCGTTTTGCTGGCAAGGGACAACCTGGAGGATAATCTCCTATTCTAGTCCCAAATCGGTGTGGCACTGAGCAATGGGCCCTGGAGCCACAGCCACTGGCAGTCACAAAGACCTCGACTTCAGTCCCCTGGACTGGGGGGTGGGGAGGGCAAGGCCCCCCCACCTTTCACCTGTGGCGCCGAGCTGAGGTCATGTGACCAACTCTCCTCGCTCAGGACCCCCCACAGCCCCAGAGCCCTCAGCCCCCCACCCAGCAGCCCCCAGCCTCTCAGGGCAGCGCCGGGTCATTAGCCGGGTGGGCTTCAGGACCTCTCCACATTTCTGACAGTTATCGAGGAGCCCAAAGAACTCTGCTTATGTGTGTGTGCGTTATAGCTGTTAATATTTACCATACTAGAAATTAAACAATATTTATTAATTTATAAAAGTAGAAATAAAAAATCTATAACATGCTAGTGTGAATGTATTTTTTATTAAAAACTACACTTTCCAAAACAAAGGGGAGTCAGCAGAGGGAAGAGTCCTCACAGAGGAGAATGGGGGTGGGTGTCAATTCTTGGCCATACAGCTTGAATCCCTGGGGGTGCAGCTGGGCCTGAAGCCATGGCCCCTGCTTCTCCAGGCACTTGTCACCTCTGGCCTCTGCTAGGCCGAGGGGACGTCTCTGTGGGCTGTGCCTGCCCCACACCGGATGCTACGGTGGGGGGAGGGGCGGTTGAGTGGTAGTGACGCCCCAGAGGCCGCTTGGTTCTGTAAGGCTGAATGCCACCTCGTCCCTCCTCCAGGAAGCCCCCCTCGGCCCCCAGGCCCTCCGTCTGGATGCCTGTGTTCGCCTTGCTCACAGCAATGATGTAACATGTTGCTACTCTCTGCTCTCCCTGTGACTCTGCCCTGCCCCGAGGCAGGCTGAGCTCTGCGCCGTTTCAGTGACCTCACCATCCAAGACAGGTCCTGCCTGCGGAGGGGACGCACTGTGTCTCTGTGGTGAAGGGAGGGAAAATGGAATAAGCTTGCCCTTCCTCCATGAGGGCCTGGGTCTCAGACCCTCGCAGCCCCTGTCCTGGGCAACAGGCTGATGTGGAGTGAGCTGCTGGGAACGGCAGCTGCCAACGGCTATGCTTGTGTGGGGCTGGAGTCCGCTCAGCTTGGGTGCTTCCACGGGCACCTTCTCCCTCAGACGGTGGCATCAGATCCTTGTCATCACATTTGAAATGACCCTATTAATGACTCCAAAAATGGCTACTGTTGCCCAGTCTGGGAGGCAGGGGGGACATACGGTTTCCTCTGTGCTGGTAATTCAGCTCCTCACCAGCCGTGGGCACGGTGCCTGCGTTGCCCTCCCCTCACTCCAGGGCAGCACTGGCCCCTAGGCAATGAGGAGATTGGCTCCGTGGCTGGCAGAACCACAAGTGGTCAGGGCTGGATGGGTCCTTTCAGTCCATCCTGTCTGTCCATCTTACAGATGGGGAAAATGAGGCCCCGGTCACACAGCAGGAGAGGACAAGGCTGCCGGGCTCCCAGCCATGGCTCTGCTGCCCTGGGGTCGCTGTGCTGCGCTTGGGGGTCCCAGAGAGCTGACTGGCAGTAAGCATTTCCTGGATGAACATAACTGGGAAGTCGGCAGGGTTAGTGTAATAAGTGGTGCCTGTTACTATTAATTGCCCACTAGAAGTGAAGACCAATTTAGGTGCTGCCTCCTGTGTGAGGCTCTCTGGGCAGCTTCTCACCAAAGCATGTAACCCCAGCTCCTCTCCGACCATCCACCAGCCATCGCTGAGGGTGAGCCTCAGCTCACCTGCAGAACCGTGCGGCTCCCGCAGAGGCCTACCTCTAACTGCAGGGTCACTCCTCTGGCCTTTCCAAACAGCGTGAGGTTCCCTGCAGCCAAGCTTAGTGATGCCTGGGTCTCTGACCCGCCGCCTGCTTGTCCTCGGAGTCCCCCCACTGAGCTGCTCCACGAGAGGTTGTGGCCTCTCAGCTGAGCAAGGTCACTCTGCCTGCCTCTCAAGCAAGGGGACAGTGAAGGG